GATTCGATTACCATCAGCCTATTTCAGCAAAACAACTTTGATACACTAAGCGTACTTGGCTTTCAAGAAGATTTTTGAATCGTTAATTTTTCCCATTTCTAGTGCACCAACTGATGTGACAATCTGTCACCCGTCACCAATATCTTGTCACAAAACCCTCATAATTCAGTAGTATAGTGGCATGATAGCTGCACCCCCTTGCAGAGGGGCGACGACGGGAGCGCAACTTATCAACCGCGATCAGCTCCTATCACTTGTCTCCGTCACAACAAGTTCATCACGTGACAGAAAAGGCTTTCTACTTCTGTTGGGATGCGCGCGATGAATAAGGTGACGATTCAATTCTAAAGCTTCCTATCATCCGCAATCAGGTGCCATCACGTTCTGTTACCCACCATCACTGTTCCCATAACATACCTTACATCACCTGCTGAAACCAACTTCCCGTGGCATGGGGCGCTATGACTTTTGTGACCCTTCTCTTCTAACTCCCCTTATTGAATCTTATCAGCTGCTATCACTGTATGCCACTCATCAGTATTCCCGTCACATCCCTTCAGATCTTTTTCAGAAAGACCTTTTCCAGCAGAATAACTCTTCTTATTTTTGCTAATTGATGCATTTTGTGGGAAAGAGATCTTTAATTACGAAGACTCTTGACGCTGTTCAGCCAGTGACGGTAGAACAACAAAAAAGTTTTCGCTGAGACTGCACCTGCGGGGGTGGGGATCAATCAGTGCCCTGATCATAAGCATCCTTATGATCGCACTTATGAGGGTTTTGTGACAAGGATATTGGTGACGGGTGACAGATTGTCACATCAGTGATAGGAGCTGATCGCGGTTGATAAGTTGCGCTCCCGTCGTCGCCTCTCTGCAAGGTGGTGCAGCTATCATGCCACTATACTACTGAATTATGAGGGTTTTGTGACAAGGATATTGGTGACGGGTGACAGATTGTCACATCAGTTGGTGCACTTGAAATGGGAAAAATTAACGATTCAAAAATCTTCCTGGAAGCCAAGTACGCTTAGTGTATCAACGTTGTTTTGTTGAAATAGGCTGATGGTAATCGAATCAAAAGAGCAATTTTGCATTTTCTATGTTCCGCTGTTCTCGCTTCCATATATTTCAAGACGCAGAAGCAGCAGCAGCGCCCGCCGTATAAGGAGGAGCGCCGGCGCTAGCGAGCGATCCGACTGGTACATTCATAACCTACATAGACAGGAATAGAGCCGTCTGTTAGACCAGCCGCTGAAGCATCGTACTGATTCATGCATTCCCCCCCTCCCTCTTGAAGCGTCTTGCTTTGGAATGCACCCCCGCATTCAGCAGTGGAACGCTTTGAATGGCTCCCACTAAGGTTGTTGATGGAATATAGTTCTGATAAGAGTGACTGAGTCAAGTTGCTGCTGTTCATAACATCTCTGCAAACAAACTCCATTAGCGATCGTACATGATTCCGCTACTGATGAGCAGTGAGGAATGAGTTGTGTTGGAGCCACCGAGATAGTTATACTTGAGTCATATCGATCGCATTGCTGCTGTGAGCGGTGTAGCGGATTTTCCCATGTTAACTTTGTCACTTTCAGCATCCTATAACCATCCGTCACCCACCAATAATATTTCCAGTCCCCATATCACTATCATGATCACCCTGAATCATTTCTCGAAATCGCACTCGTCCACCACCGTTGCTATAACCTGCGTTACGTGTATTGGTGATTATCCTCTTCCGAAACCCCTTATCGATTCTTATAACTGTTATCACTTTTCTGTCACCCGCCAATAATGTTCCCGTCCCACCCTACTATCATCACAACGCGGATGCCAAGTCCCACTGTTGCCCGTAAACTGGTCTTACGTATGTTGATGATCATCCCCTTCCAGACTCCTTATCTGATCTTATCCACTGTATACACCTTCTGTCACCCGGTGAATAATGTTCCGGTCCCATCCCCTATATCAGTCCTTGGAACCAACAGTGCCACGCTTACAGCGGCGCGTGCTTTTGGATTTCGGTGACAGACAGATGAGACACACACACACACATACTGACAGACATACTAAGTGAATTATAATGGAGTAGGACCATTCGGAATCGCCCGGACGCCGAGCTATCCTCGTTCTCTTTAGTGCTAACTTACTCCTCGATACTGCGCTATTTCGATGAATCGTGAGGCATGAAGAAACCCACGTGCCGAGCTCACGTCCAGCTGCTACGCGAGCTGCTTGTACAATGGCTCGGAGTGTATCTTAAGTGGGGCGCTGCTTTTCAGTTCTTGCCGATGCAGAACATTCCTCTGAACATGTGGTTGGTCCAACGGATCCACAACTTAGCACGTAGCAAATCGCGCCCACCCGGCGAAGCCGGGCCATGTCCACAGAAGGAGGAGCGCCCGCGACAAGCTGCGATCCGACGTGTAGATATCCCAGTAAAATCCATAAACACCTCTATTGTTGAAATTCCTAATAAGCGCAATCATAGGAACACACTACTTCTAAACACTTTGTATACTACTGAACAATTATTTAGGTTTTGAAAAAGTTTCTTAATAACAGAGTATGTGGCACTTACCAAAAAAAACAAATGTATCGTGGAGAATAGAAGATGGTGTCTTCGTCGATTTCCTCCCATGCAGCAAGTATTGCCTCCTTCAAGCCTCGCAAGCTGTTGTACTGCCCACTGTTCATGTTAGATTCGTCGCACCAATGATTCCCCGCAGGACTATCGTTTGGGTGCAGTCAGGAGAACACGTTGGCCAATCCACCACTTGATACCATTGGCGTTGGAGCCGTTTCTGGTATAATTTGAAACATGCCCGGCGGCGTTGTCCTGCTGGATCACATGTTTCCTGCGTCGTGGCCGCTCAGAAAAGGCAAGAGGTTAGACTCAAGCAGCTCCTTGTATTCCTGTCTGGTTCATACAGCGCGATGGATGGCAAGCTCTAACTTCCTCCGCTTCCAACAAACGCACCTCCGTACCATCAAAGAGACGCTTTCGAAATTTCGTTACGAGAACACCAACGAATCGCTACAAAGGCCTTTCCAGTGATGCTGATATCCATCTGGACCGTCGAGATTGATTTTTTCTTGTCAGTGAAGATAACCTAAGAAATAAATGCGCATAAGATGTTGCCTTTCTGATTTTACAAATATCTCAAGAAACTGCACCTTGTCCCACGACGTCGCCATTTTTGCACGCGCAAAGTTCAGTCTTGCCAGCTGCTGCCTGGCAGTCAGACAGGGAACTTTCTTCATGGTCTCTCGAGTGATGTGCTCACTTGATCTAGTAGAGCGCCATATAGTCATTTTTGAGACCGGTAGATTTATCGCGGCATGGATCTGTGCCACAGAAAGCGGGGAGTTTGAGGCTATTCTTCTGATGTCTTTTGCGGACAAAGATCGTGGGTGCCTCGAAACAGGTACTGTGTGGTAGCCATCAGGATACTGGAGGTATATACCAACGCACGTCGCCGAAAGTCCAAGCTATCTTGCAATTTCTCTATTCGAGTGTCCTGCAGCACTGAAAGCTCGAATCCGAGCTTGTTCGTAGTCGTAGCGAGGACCACCACAGCGAGGTATGAGTGCAGGTTAATGGGGACTAGAGACCACAAAAATGGAGTGCAGATCTGGAGCCAAACGTTCGACTTCCTTAGGTGTCCACATACTTTTGTCATTAAGAAACTTTTTCAAAACAATAAATAATTGTACAGTAGTTCACAAAGTGCCCTCTTTGCGTTTGGAACACCCATGTCTGTAGCGGTTTCTTGTAGTCACATTATACGTTGACACGTCTGATAAGACCGCTTCAGATAGCTATGTCTCGTTTGCGTGACATAGCAACAAATCCTTTACATTTGTCGCCGACTGATAATCGTAAAGAGCGTCCAAGTGACATAGCTTTCCACAAACAATATTCCGCGTGAATCATGTTGTAAGGAACACTGAGTGTTTTATGATGGTCCGACACTCTCAGAACATTGGCTTGCAATTCGCTCAGCTTTGATAAAAATGTTGGACTGGCCTCGGCGCGAATCTAGTGCCAAGATTAAGTAGGCTCAGTACATATTCATTGACCTGCTCCATCAGCATTAACAAATTGCCTAGGTGATTTCGAATTTCTCATGTGCATGTCATTTCTACAGAAAAGGATAGCTGGGGAGGTCGTCAACGCTGCGTATTCCCTGTTTTCGTATCATTTTGCAGCACACTCTCGAACCCGCTCCCACCCCGACCCTCCCCTCCTCCCACAGGAAGTCGTGTTGATTGTTTCCTGCTTCGAATTTCCTGCAGTGCATGTGAAATAGTTAAATTGATGTTGGTGCACGCTGTGTACGTGATTTTGTACACCTGAAGAAGGGCCTCAGGCTCGAAACGTCGTCAGTGTTATAACCGACTTGGGAGAGTTTCATTCTATCAATCATACAGAATACTTACAACATAATAATAAAGCTATTAGTCCTCCAATACTACGTGATTTCTCACGTAGTTCAAACGAGGTAAACATTTCACATCGACATCATTGTGGAAATATTTTGTGATTTAGATACATAAATTACCAAGGTGATCGAAACGTTGCTTTTCTGTTGAGGAGAGTATTCCAGTGCTAGGAAGTGGTGTTAAAAACTAACATTTGTATCTACCCAGTATTTCGTTCTGATGAACTGAAGTAGAACACATTAGGAGAAGCCACAATTCTCATGCAAATTTTCAGGTGAGCGAAAAAAAAGCGCCATAACTCATAGGTCAACCCAGTTGTTCAATACTCTTTGCAAGAATTGAAAATATTCGAATGCCAAACAACGACACGACGTGAAATAGGCGTCAGAAATCTTTTGGTGTCACCCTTTTCCGAGTTGACGCTTGACCTCTGAAAACGAGTCGCCGCACATTTCATAAAAATTTTTTTATTCTAGACGTATTTCCTTTGACATTTTGTCTAAGGCACATAGGTTGCGCTCGATGCACGAATATAGGGATGTATATATTAGAAAATCAATGACTATTGATGAGCGCAAGAAAGATCGCGAATTACGGGAGAGAGCACGTGAACTTAACAGGAAAGAAGGTGAGCGAGTCTATGTAATTTACAGAGGTGAACTTGTGAAGACTAAGGATATTCCAAATTTAGCCAAAAGGGGAAGCAATGCTCCTTCGTTGTCAAAAAACTAGTGTATTCGCGTACGAGTTTTTTTTTCCTGTTTCTTGTTTAACGCTCGTAGCTTGAAGAACAAGATTCATGACCTCCACTGTCTCATTGAAATACTCAAACCTGGCATTATTTTTATCACCGAGACCTGGCTAACTAGCAAAATTGCTGATTCTGAACTCTGCTCGGTCTTCCCATACTCAGTAGTTCGCAAAGATAGAGTTGGGAAGACCGGGGGAGGAGTATGTGCGCTCCTGCACAACTTTTTCCTTTATGATGAAGTCAAGTTCGATTGTAAGGTTCTTAGCGCCGATGTTCTCTGCTTTGATGTTTTTTTGCCATCCTCTCGTAATCATAGGTTCCTCCTCATATATCGCCCCCCACAGTCTACCCTGTCTCAAGATGAACAACTAGTTACAGTGATTTCTGACCTAGTTTCGACCTCTCCGCATCATGTGACCATTCTGGGGGATCTGAACCTAAATTATTGACTGGTTTCACATGTGGCGCTCAACTCGCGAAGCACAAAAGTTTCTTAATGCTTTTGAAAGGTCTTTCTTTGGAGGAAACTAGTAACATTTCCCACTAGAGGAAATAAAATTCTTGACATCATTTTGGCAGACGGCAATTTCATCTCAGATATTTCAGCTCGTGCACCTTTTGGGAGCTCAGACCATGATATGGATTTCATTTAATATATCCGAATGCGGCTTTCAAAACAAATTGACACGCTTCATTGATTTCTTGCATGCCGATAAAGGGAAAATTAGGCAAGCCCTTTCTGACATTGACTGGTTAGAAGTTTTAAATTTCTACGCTGATGCTGATGATGCATATAACCGTTTGCCAGTGTCATTCACAACATTATTTCTCGGCACGTGCCCATTAAATATTTCGAGAAATGTGCATCCAGTCGTTACCCCGCCAACATATCGTTAATCTTTTCGAACAACGTGAAAGGCTGTTCCATTCTTTTAAGCGACCTTCTATGAATCCGCTTTTTTATTGAGGTTTCGCGTAAACTTGACTTTCATTTGAAGCGTTTTCTGGCACACAAAGTAAGGAATATGGCTCAAAGTAACCATATGAAGAAGCTCTACGAGTTTATTAAAAAAGTTAAATCGACTTCGCACGTGTCTCATATCCTGGTAGACTCCGATGGGCGCAAGTATTCAACTGATGCTTCCAAAGCGGAAGCTATCGCGGACTACTTTGCCAGTGTTTTTGGAAAGGCAAGCAGTGGTATACAATCATTGCCATCAGTCTCTAACGAATGCTTTGAAATGCCAATTGTTTCTCCCCAGGTAGTGCTCAACATCTCCGCTCTTTGAAACGGTCCATGTCTCCCACAGCCGATGGCATACCTCAAGTGTTCTACAAAGAGTTCTCCGATTATCTGGCTATCCCCCTTGCTCATATACTCAATATTTGTCTCCTTCTTGGTGAAGTTCCTAGCGTTTGGAAAAATTCGTTCGTTACACCCCTGCCAAAAGTTAGCAATTCCAATCTCATATCGAATTTTAGACCTATAAGTATCTTACCGACCCCGCTGAAAATAATGGAGAAGATAGTGAAAGAAAAGCTTTCGCATTGGTTTCGAAACTTCAGCTGATCCCCACTGAACAGCACGGCTTCCTTCCCGGTGCGTCCACACGTGTACGCAACTCATAGACTGTACGCACTCTTGGACGGAAGCCCTCAACAGTGGAAAAAATGTAGATGTTGTTTATTTTGATATGAGTAAAGCGTTTGACAAGGTATGCCACTCAAGTTACTGGCAAAGCTTGAGTCCATTGGAGTTAGAAATATGGCTTTGAAATGGTTCGAGTCTTACCTAGATGGCTGGAAGATGAATGTCCGCTTTGGAGGTAGCCTATCAACAGTGAGAGAATGCACCTCTGGGGTCCCCAGGGGGGCATCCTGTCACCTCTCCTCTTCCTCATTTACACGTATGATCTGCCCAATTTCCTCAAAAGTGACAGCAAAATATCCGTGGCTTGTTTTGCTGACGATGTCAAAGTGGCGATAACTTATGAGGAGCTCGGCAGATTTGAGGCACAGCTAGCTCTGAACAAGGTCGTTGAAAAAATGCTCGCGTGGGCGGAGTGCTGGGGTCTCGAAATAAACTACAATAAAACGGCGCTGTTTTCCCTAGGAACTAAGGCGCCTAGATATTGTCTTTCCGAACAAGACCCCTTTGCGACATAGCGAGCGGTAAAAGACTTAGGAATCATACTTTCAAGGAAGTTGAGTTGGAGGCGAACACGTTCAAGAAATTAGCAACAAAGCACTAAGGTTGGTCTACCTTTTATTCAGAAATATTCATTGCACTGAGCTTAAACTATGGATAAGACTCTACAAAATCGTATATACTACCCCATCGTGGAGTATTGTAGCCCGGTTTGGAATCCATTTCTTGTGAAGAGACATTCGAAAGCTCGAATCAGTGCAAAAGACATTCACTAGAATTTTGTATTATAAGGTATTTCCTGACTCTGGTTATCCGGAATCGTTACACCCTATCAGGTTCGTCCTTCGCGAATTGAATTTGAAGAGTCTTTTCCATAGGAGGATTGTTGCTGACTTAGTATTTGCTTTCAAGTTACTTAAAGGTGAACTTCGTCTCCGCCCGTCGAGATTTTGGATTTTTCGCCCTACGAATGGACGTCGCGGTTGTTTTCAAATGTACGGGCACAAGATTGGTAAACACCACAGGCAGCTCAGGCATAACAGTTTCATTCCGCGGCAACTCGTTGGCTGTCGCTTCTACCTTCTACGTTCTCTTCGATTGTAGAGATTCGGTACATTTCAGAGGACAACTTATGAATTGCAATCTCTTAGAGCACTTATGTCTTGATGACGTGGGGTAAAGGGTAGGTCCCTGCAATGGATTGATTGAGTACTTCCTCGTGATATCTGTGTTTTCGGTCTGATTGGTCAAGACGCGTCGTTACTGAGGAACTGACTTTTTTGGTTCTCTCTCCTGCTGCCGCCACCACGTCGTTCTCTCTGCATTTTGAACTTTTTTCGGATTATCACCTTAAATTGTCTTACAGTGGTGCTCTCGTGCGAGAGTCTGGGACTTTAAGCTTGCTGGTAGCTACTTCTGCTTGGTTTGTCGGTTCCACGAGGTCAGCTGGCATACTCGTGTTTCGAAGTGCCGGCAAACTCCCATGACCCCTGATGTGGCGGCTAAGGGCACCTGGCCAGTTGGTGTAGGTGGTTGTAGCTTCGCTAGCTCCTAGTCCATCTCTAGCCGTCGTACCACATGGACTCATTCTCTAGTGTTGCCAGACCCTGTTTAGACGGTTGTGACGGCAGACTCCTGTTAGACTGATCACTTCGTGGCTGCTCCTCATTTCTTAGTCGCTACTTTGACCAAAAAGGCCTTTTCTTATTCGACTGTTTCTACAAGATTTCCGTTTTTTCTGTTCATCTCCACGGTTTCAGCATCTTTTTGTTTCCTCGCATGTTTCTCGCATGCTTTCGCCATACAGTTCTAGTAGTTTTTATTTAATATTTCTTTTCCTTTCATTGATTTGCTTTTTTTGTTTGTTTTTCTGATTAATCTTGAGTTTTGTTCAGTTGCTTCGTCACCTGCTGTTAACTGGGCGCGTCGCAGTACGCATAAATAAATAAATAAATAAATAAAAATACATTTCACAATATGCATGCCGTGTCAAGTACAGGTTCCTACTCTGACCAACATTCAACGAGAGAAGATAAATAAATAGCAGGCAAATGATTATACTGTTGACAGATGTCTATCAGAAGGGAGAACAATTAAATACACAAAAGTGTTAAAAATTGGGCGAAATTTTGGCACCGCAATTGCTAATCCGAACTCTGCGGACGACATAATACAAGTGCTAATTCGGATTCCACGTTCACGCCCGCTGCAGCGTTTCATTACGCATAGCCGAGAGCTCCATTACAAGAATGCTTCTGACTCTACCCCCAAGCCATGAAAGCGTGCAAAGCTGCTTCTACAAAATCTTTCCCTTCGTAATGGCAACTTTTCGACCAGAAACTTCGCAAATGCTCACCAGCAATGTTCAAGGACAGAGACGTTCCAATATGAGGATAGAGGGAGAGGATCAAACTTTTCTTTTTTCTGAGCTAAGTAACGTATATAAATAAGAACACATGCCTGATTCTCCTGTTATTTTTTTCATGTAGTTCATGCATACGATCGTTTTGTTCCGTCAACAACTCCGTTCTGAAAATTTTCACATTTCACCTACAGGTCCAATGGCCATCGAGGCACTGAAGTGATCCACTATTTCCTGTTTGGAAGGGAAAAGAATCTACAATCGGGTCACGTTACGGTCCTTAGGCAAACATGAGCATGACTATTAATTTACATAATCAGCTGACATGGATCAGCGCTTTGCAGGATAGAGTGAAAGGCAGCACCAGAGATTAAAGATAATGCGATAGTCATGACCGAGAACATGGCCTCACAGGCATAACAATTTTACTAGCAAGTCTGCGATGCTCTCGAGAGGGATGGTGGTGGCTCACTTCGCTCGCGGTGAGTGATGCCGTTTGGACTCACAGAGATTCTGCTACATGCGTCAATTATAGAGCGTTGCGGCCATTCTGACCTACAACCCTCCCGACTTCACGCGCAACACCTTTAGAATCGCCTAGAAGCAGGGTACACTAGCGGGATCGCGGTAGGAAGTAGTAGTTTGGATGAATCTTTTATCAGCACTCTGAAATGTTACCGTTATGAAGCAACATGAGAGCGCTTGAGAACGCTTCAGAGAAGTTGGAATGTAATTACAACTTCTGCGAACGGTAACAAAAAAAGTAGCTGCTCTCTGCCATACCAATCGAGAGAGAAACGCAGGAAAATCTCAAAGTGCGTTGTTCACTTGTTAAAATGAGAAAAACTATGATTCAAATTGAAATACAACAATAGCAGTAGTCCTCAAAAGTATTCGGCCAAGCGCTTTTCTGCCCATAACTTTTTTTCTCACCCTTTCCGATTCCTTTAAAACTTCATTATGTTATACCCACCATTGTTACCAGTGAAAAAAAGCGGTTGACTTGGGACCTGAGACACGGTCTGCACTTTTTTTTGCGTAATGACTAATTTCAGTGCTACCATAATGTTCACATTTTTCGAGTTTTAAAAAGTTCCATGACATTATATCCATTTGTCAAAACGAAATTCTCCTCCTTGCAGTGACCTCAAAGAAAAATGGGACCTCGGGCGCCAAAAAAGTTGCCATGAAGATGGAAACTGTCGGGTGAAGGCGCACTTTTCCCGAATATTTTGAAAGTTCCTAGACGCACAGTGCCTTCTTGCTCACAGTAATATGTGTGTTGTCAACGTTTGAAAGACCACTGGAGTATATTTGACATCTGTTCGTCAGGATGAACGCATCAAGCAAATGGATTGCTAGAAGAACAGTGCGAATGCTAGGGTAGGTGTACAATCAAGAACGCGCTGTTCAGCTCAGAATTTCAAAGCGTCCAGGAAGAGGTCGCTCTCCGTCTTCTTCACTGAAAATCGAGCGGTGTGGACAATGCCCTGCAGGAGTGTTCAGATCGCTGAGTTAACGGCTAACATACTTGACAACACCAGATTCAAGAACTATGAGCCCGCTCCCGTTAGTGGGTTAGACGTTGCCTTCAGCGCTCAGTTTTGGTGAAGGTGGCGAAGAGCGACCTTTGCTTTGACCCTGAATGTCTGACCTGTACACCGGGTCCTTGATCGCACACCTACCATAGAACACTCTCAATGTTCTTCCAACAATCCATTTGCTAATATTTGTCTCATTAACACTATTCAAGTTGACTGAGTCGATGCAAGCAGGCTGGAGCAGCCTGCAAGCGGCAGCCGATGCATTTATCCTGGCGAATGGATGTTAAATGTGCTCCAGCTGTTTTCCAAACGTTGAGTACAGTCTTACTGTTGTGAGCACGATGGCACAGTGCATCTAGAAACTTTCAGAATACTGGGGAAAACTGCGCATTTATGGCGACATTTTTCATCTTCGTAAGCAACTTTTGTGTCCGAGGTCACAATCTCCGTCCAGGTACTGCAAGGAAGAGTATTCCGTTTCGACAAATGGAAATAATGTCATTCAACTCCTTGAAGCTTGAAAATTGTGAAGATGGTAGCCTTGTGCACAGTGAAATTAATCGTTAAGCGGAAAGTTACAGACCGTGCACTATGTTCATAGGCAGCTACTTTTTACTGGTAGCACTGGTAGGTATAACGTACTTACATTTAGAATGGATCCTTTGAGGAAGAAATTGTGGGCGAAAAAGAGTTTGTCCGAATACTTTTGAGCACTACTGTGTATGTACAAAAGCCTCTACACATGGTACATTAAAAAACCGACATTTGGGAATTTCATGGATATCGGAACAGTTGAAGACCTGAACGGCACTTTCCTTGCGACATATTGTTGCAACTGGCCTTGCATTTAATTACTGGTAAGACGGCATTGTTTGAAGTAGATCAGGGACTGTTATTATTACAGCACATGCGGTATACAGTGGAATGGCCTCATTATCTATCTATCGCATTAACAACCTAATTCCAAGGTTAGTAACTTATACATATTTCATGTTTAATTAGAGAACTGAGCAAGACACCAGTACAGAAGCTTAGCACCAAGATTTGAATAGACACCAAAAACCGACAGTGAAGC